ACACACACACACACATATATATATATATATATATATATATATATATATGTGAGAAAGTGGAACGTATAAAACAAAGTGTTAAAGGGGCAAAGTTGAGCGGCAACAAAACAAAAGAGGGGCATCATCATCACACGTGGCAAATTCACTCACGATAGAGAACCAATTTGACACATTCAGGCAAGACGTTTGCTCTAGAGGTGCAGGGGCACCAACAGTGTAAGTCGCTCACCCAAAGGATCCATTCTTCCATCCAGGCAAAAAAACGAGCATGCAAAGTATGGCGAGCACGATAAGAATAAGGATTAACACCACAGTTTTAACCGTAAAGCAATTCAAAAAAGTGATAAACGCAGCACGAATCTCCTTCTACTTCGGTTTCGGTATGCATTCGCTCCAGGGTGGCAGACTTCAACATGAGCGCACAAGCCGGCCAGTTCTCTAAGAGACTCACGGGGGGCTCCAGACAACACCTAAATTGCCCATAAGAGCGCTGAAAAATGCGCAGAACGCAATGACGGACTCGTGAAGTATTTGGGACCAAAACCGTAGCACCCTCTCACTGCCCCCAACACCTTCTACAACAAGCGGAAAAGCGAGTACGGCAGTAAGCTGTAGCGCCGCCGTCCCCACAACACGGACTTGTTTGACATGAACGAAGTTGGGCGTGAGGTACATCAACTGGGAGATGTCGCTTCTCGCAGCCTCCGCCAAGAACGCGCTTACGCCCTTTTTTGAAGAGTGGTGGAATGCCAGAAACGTGGCCGTCGCAGCAAAGCGTGACTTGACCCACGTGGACAAGCTTGCTAAGCGAGGTGAGGCCATCCACAATACTCTCCTTGGACAACACCTCAAACGTCGCCAGAGTCGCAGCCAACGCAACAGTAAGCCCCGCCCCAACGTGCTTCATGACATCGTCAACCACGAAAGCCGCTGTGTACGAGGCCCTCTGCTTCTCAAGAGAATGTCGTCCCCGCCCAACTTTTACTCCAAGCTGGAGGCACACCGCCACACCACCGCCATCAACAGCCACGGAGACCTCCTCCAGCAATAAGCGTACGTCACCAGCACTAAAGTCGCAAGAACAAAAATCAGCCAGGTCCTGGTGCAAAAAAAAATAAAATAAAAACACCTTCTTATTAATGGACGGCCTTGCGACCCAATGTATTTAACGGTCCCCCCCCCCCTCTCTCTTTCGCTCATCCTTGTGCTTAGAACCACAACGAGACCCAACGCATACCCCCGCGGAGGCCCCATGCCCGCATTGGAGGTATCGACGTTACAAAATGTTTCTGGTGAACAAACCAATTCTGCGCGTTCGCAGGATATCCCTCCACCGGAGTTGTTGGAGGGTGAAATGAAAATCACTGCGGCACTGCCAATTTGATAGGCATGAAATCCAAAGGTTGCCCACAAGAACCTTTATATGTGTTCCCCAACGGCAGCATACCCGTAGGTAACGCGAGGAAGCACTGTTGGTGTGGTATCCAAAGTGCACCGTATTGCGGGTAGGAACGCAACGACTCTGTGGTCTGTAATATAAACCGTAGATCGCATCATCCTTGCTAGGCAGAGAAGGATCATGACAATGACGGTCAACGTAATGCACTACAATAGGGCAATAGTCTCTCAGCGGCACCAGCCCACCAAGTGATGAATTGCCTAAAAAATACTGAAAATAAGGAGGTAGTTCTTTCCCCACGAAACCAATATTGCAAAACCCCACGGATGTACGGTCGTACACACATGTTTGTGTTGTTGCAGACTCATTACACCACTTCAAGCCTTTTAATGGAGTGTCGGTGCTGCACGCCCTACCAACAAGAGTGCAGCCGGCCCCATAACTCCATATACCCCACATGGGTTCATTGTACTACATGTTTACAGTACAAAAAAGCAAGGGATGTAAAGAAGGCAAGTAAAATCTAATAGATGGAGGAACGGGTTTGGTACTTCTGCCATGAGTTCATCCATCCATTGTCTCCTCCCCGAGTGCGTCCATGCGCGGTATCAGCTCCCCCTTCGCCCTCCAACTCCACACCATCTGGTGTGGGGCAATTCAGATGCGCCCTAGCCGTGGTAACAACGGCAGGAGCTGTAACGAGGAGTACAGGCTTACCCCGTCGCTCGCTAATATTGATCATGTTGTTTAAAAACGCTGGACCATACCTCAGTACATAAAAGGTTTCGCGCATCACAACCCGCAGATAATATTCATACTTGCGCCCCGAGTCAGAGCCTTGAATGAAGAAGGGGAAAAAAATGATGTGTCCCACCACAGGCCGGCTAAATTGATTCGTACTGCAAACTCCCGCCCACGTAATGATTCCAAGAATACCGGGCGTGGACGATGTACCCGTCCCACCAGCATGGACGCAAAGCATCATATCGGCATCTGTCACTCCAGTGGTAAGTTGCGCCGGTGGAATCACCACATCAGGGCCGCAGGCGTTTGCCGTGACGATCAGGCGTCCATGAACAGGTTTGACGTTAAAGAGTCGCTGTGTGCAGTAGGGCGCGAGGGGAGTCAGAATATTTTCAATAACCCACGACTTTGCCCTTGTCATGATCTCTTGGGCGGTCCAGATGTAAATGGAATCCATGAAGTCCAGTCACACGTCATCCATGGCCATGTATATCGTCGTTAAGTTCAAAAGGCTACTTGTATCCACAACGAGACGAATCGGCCTCACACTGTCCTTGATAATTACAGGCTTCTTGAGCCACCGACCGCGTTGCTTCGCCAGCAACTTTCCATCGCGGTGATCGCTGGCACAAATCAGGTGCAGACGCATGCCGAACTCAATGACAGGATTTTCCCCGCCTCCATGCTGCGCCGCGTAGTGCATGTGAGGGTCCTACAGCGTCAAGCTGGCAGTGCCATGCAACAGTGGGGGCACCCGCAAACCGCGACGGACGTGTCGCTGCAGTCTGTCATCGACGTAAATGCAACGGTGTTACACGGCATCCACCGCTGATGTTCCCAGCAAAAGTGGCAGCAGCAGCCGCCGCCGGCCGATACACGCAGACAGTAATCCCTGCCGTATGTTGCAGTGAGCAGCTAGGCGAGAGACAATTATTTGCCCATTAGTTGTTGTTGTTTTTTTGCTTTTACAGTGTTTGTGGGAGGGCCTACAAGAAGCCAGAGCGGACAAGCAATCTACTACCCAGCATGCAAAGAAGCAAAAACGCAGGTAACGTACACGGGCGCATGGCAGTAGAAGGCAACACGCAACGAAGGTGAGCAATAAGCAGTGAAGCCTCCGACAGAAAACAACGACGGCAACAACAACACAAAACAAAAAAAAAAAAAAAAGGTTTACGTCTCCCGCCTCTGCAAGTTGGTTCCCCACACACCGCAACCCACGAAGAGCAGCGATACTCATCGAGTTGTGTCCAGAAAAAAAAAAAGGAAAAAAATACCACAACATCGAAATATAAACTCTTTGAGAAGGGCGTGGGGAAAAAAAGCAAGAGAAAAAAGAAAAAAGCGGGCCTCGTTTGTAGGCGCCCAGGGAGTCACACCAACACGTCCCAGCATACAGGCCGCATCTTTACGGGAGGATACGGGTGATGAAGCAGAAACCTTGACGACAGTGGTTTTCAAACCAATAAAAAAAAACAAAAAACAAGAAAAAAAAATGGTAACAAAACAAAAACAAAGTAAGAGAACAAAATGGGCCGTCTGAAAGAAAGCGCATGTGTACGTGTGTGAGAGTGTGCGAGTTGGACACAACTCCCCTACGGCAGTAGAGAGAAGGAGCAAACTAACGCCTCACCTTAGGGTAGTCGCTTGGCCACCTCCGTTGCCCTCAAACTGAACCGCGTCCACCGTGGGGCGCAGGCTTTCCCAAGTTTCTTTCATTCGTGCAGAATACTTTAGCTGCAACTCTGCAAAATTCTTTAGAATAGCCTTCATATCATACTGCTTCTCCTGGTGAAAGCGGCGAAGCTCGTCCTTGAAGATGGCTTCACCCGCCTCCATCTCCCTCTTAGCTGCGCTCCAGCGTTCTTCAAACTCTGCCAGCTCATTTTCCAGCTTTACCACCCGTTCAGTTTGCCCACCTTTCCCTACGGCCCGCTCCTTTTGGGCGGCAACGTCAGTTACATGCTGCCGGAGTGACTCCACATGACGTGCTCCGCTCTGAACCCTCTTGAGCGTCTCACGCACCGCGGCGCACATACCATGGTAGTAATTTAGCGTCTCAACAACCTGCTTCATCTCCTCATTTGCATGATCGTTATAAATTGAAAATAGTTGTTCACTGTGCTGCCCCGCGGCAATAATAGCATTACTCAGTGGGTTGACTTCAATGCCTCGCTCAATCTCGCCGACCTTTTCAAAGGCTACACCAAACTCATGCAGGGCATTGCCAGTCTTGCGGCGGCGATCCACAAGTGTTTGCAAGCGATCCCGCAGCATCTTAATGTTGTCCTCCAGATGATGAATGTACAGACCCGTCTCTTCCCACACTTGCAGGTTTGTGCTGGAGTTCGCTAGCATGCGCGCATAACTGGACCCGGCTTCCGCCACCGGACCGCCGGCGTTCCACTGCCTTGTGAGAGCGTGGCTGGCACCCCCGCCAAGTGCCGTGGAGAAAAAACCATCGGAATTCTTCCCGGATGCTTTCATTTTTCTCCCCCATTCCTCTTCGTTCATCTCCAAAAAATCCTTCAGCAGGTGCGAGGTGTGCAGCCGTGGATGGGCGCCAAGCCGCACGAGAAATTTCCTCAAAGCGCGTTGTCGGTAGTCCCTCAGCCGGTTGGCACTCTGCGAGTCGGATCCCACAAATTTGTCGAGTGTTCCCTGCACATCCTTCTCGGGAATGGGTGGGACGATACAGTACGGATACGCCTCGCACAGCTGAGCGCGAAACCACTCAAAGTCACTGTACCGCCGCACCACCTCTAGCTCCTTCTGAGCATACGTTGAGAGGGTCGTGGAGACACGAATTCTGTAGGTCCAGTAGGCAAAGTCCAGGGCGCCGGCGCCCTTCCGCTGCTCCGGCTCCATCACTTTGAATTCAAAGACACTTCCCCCCATTGTTGTTCAATGTTGATGGTGTTGCTTTGCTGCCACGTTCCCCTTCCCTCTCTATTTTCCCTAGTCAATTATTTGTTCCCCTACCTGTTTTTTTTTTGTTTGCTTGTTTTCCTCCTATCTCCCCCCACCCTTTTTTTTTTATTTTTACAGCACCCCTCTCTATCTCTTTCTCGTTCTCTCACCCACCAAGCCTCTCGTCCCCTGATCAAAAGTAAAAATTCCTACGCGGTGTGACGGTGCACACCACAAATTTGTCACCAAGTGCAGCTCACAGGACAATCCACCCACACGCTGCTGCAGCACTGGATCTCCTATGTGACGTGGGCCCACTACAACTATATATATATATATGTATATTATATGTATGTGTGTGTGAATGCAAGTAAATATGCGTGTGGTCGCCTTGCTTTCCTCCAGGAGGAACGGCGTTAGCAACACAGCAAATACATGAGAAAAAACAACCGAAAAGAAGATATGTCTTCATCACACACATACACACAAAAAGACATACGTGCCTTTCTTGCGTGTGTCCCCCAGTCAATGCTATCACAGTCATGCCAAACACAGGCAGAGAGGGGATTTAGGGGTGTTCCCTTTTCCAAGTTTATTGTTGGGGTGTTTTTGTTCAATCATTATTCTTGCTTCCTCTGTACATAACAACGTTCTTATCATTTGGCAGAAAAAGGCCAATTGAGGGGGAGAAGAAGTTGAGGCGGCAAACATGCTGACGTTTCGCAAAGAGCCCCCATCACCTGTTGACCCCGTCCCCCGCCCACTTGCACGCGCATCATTCTCCTCCTCTCCTCTGCAGCAGGGCAAAAACAGTTAAAGCTGATTGGCTTTGCCACCACCCGCGCAACCACTCATACAAGCATGAAGAAAACAAGCCACCAGCAGCATGTGCGCAAATAATATATATATATATATATATGCGCAACTGCAGCTATGATGGCAAAATGGCACATAATCAGCAAAAGCACGCACGCACACAGAGGGTAAAAAAAAAAGCGTGCGTGTGTGTGTGCGTGAGAGAGAGAGAGACGCTTATTTTCCAGAGCACACATACATAAGATACACAAAGATGAGCAAAGGAAACGGTAACACACGCACAAATGTGGCATTTGCAACCACGGGCGACGCATGCAACACAACAAAAAGCAAACGGTCACCGGTGATGGTGGACGGAGGAGGTGGGGGAGGGGGGGGGGGCAAAAACAAAAGCACACACACCAAGGAAAAATGAGTGGCTTTGCCCTCTTCCTCCCTCCTGGCACACAGCGCCGTGACGCTCAGATACATTACACACAGCACGCCTTCCGTTTCTGCACTCACCTTACTGTTGTCCGTTGATTAACGAAAAACAGGTACAACCAGGCGGAAGCGGCAAAAAAAAAACAACAACAACAACAAACACAAGGAAAAAACGCTTCATGCAACGATGTCCACGCCAACAAACGCACAGATCCCCACCTCCACCTTGTTCTGCTAGCGATGTTGCTGGCCTCACGTTACAGAAATCACGCACAAGCTGCATGCACCTCCATCACACATAAAAACTTTTTTCAACTGCTGCTACTGCCGTCTCGTCCCCTCCCCGCCGCCTCGATTCTCATGTATTCTCCCACAGTGACTTAAAGACACTCATGTTTATCCACCGCGCCAGAACTTGTACTTACACGGCGCACTTGCGTCTCCGCATAAAACAAAACATACGCCAGCGTCAATGCCTGCATGGCCTCCTTGACGGTGGACGAAGCAATGATGGCGTCATTGCAATAGTACCAATGGCCTGACAAAGTGCGCACGTAACTTGTGTAGTGCCCCCAGTGCTCCGACCCACTATGGCACACCACACCATACAACTGGTACTGCACCGGACTGCTGTCATGCGTCATGAACGACTCCGGGAAGACGACCTGCCCTGAATTCTTCTTTCCTGTATCGTCAAATCGCTTTAAATGCAGCACTAAAATTTTGGGCCACTGCCTGATTTTCAGGGTGCGTGTCCCATTTCGTGGTCGTCTACAACGCGCGCATAGTAACTGATTGCCCCCACGCAGCTTCTCCTCTGCATCATTAAAGTTGTCTTTCAATGCGGACTCAATCGTCATAGCCTTCATCCCCCCCTGCACCATTGGAAGGGAGAGGTCGAGAAAGGGGTCAAACGTCAGAGACTCTTTACCACAGGAAGAGCAGACGGACTTGGAGCGCATCACACCTCCAAATAGGTCGTATATAACGGAATTGTCGACCCGGAGAAAGTGTTCTCGCCAGCGTTTCATGGCTTCTTCTTCATCTTCATGCTCGACCTCCTTCACCTCCTCGTAGGGTGCGTTACGACCACCACTAGTGTTTACTTCGCTGTGCACCATAAAGAGAAGTGTTCGAAGAAACTCATGCGCATCCGATTGTCCATTATTTTTAAACTCCGCATTGAATTTAGCCGCCTCATCCTTGATGGTGAGAAGCAGCTTCCCGGGACTAGAAACATGTGATGCGTTCAAATCCAACAGAACCGACGTCGCTGGACACTGCTTCGGTCCTGCATTGACCGAAGCCAAAAGAGAAAGCAACCACGGAGAATGCAGGATGCATTGCATGATTGCATTCAAGTAACACGTGTTGCCGAAGTTTCGAAGCGGGACAGGCGGCTGCTGCTGCTCTGTTTTTATCGGCGTCTTCAGCTCGCTATCATCTAACGCATGATGGGTGATGTTGTTGTTTGCCTGTTGGTTTGGGCGCGGGGACTGTGGCCGCTGCCGCATTCCTCCTAACTGAGTCAGTAGGGGCAGACGTTCCGAGTGCGACCACGGCCGGTTCCACTGCCGATCCTTCTGCCCGTGCAACGTGTGCAACACGGTGGTGGTGGAGGAGACACCAATTAACTGCGTCTCACCTTGCGAGGGCCGTGGGTGGGAGCGGTAGGCGCCAGGGCACTCCGGCAGAATCTTTTTAGAGGCGGATGCGGTGGGTGCTGGATTGGTAAATGACCGCAGCGAGGAATCCGGCAGCACACGGCAATGCCCTTGCCGTGGCGGGGGAGCCCATGATGGGCCGCCGTAACGAAACACTGGGGCGCTCATTCTGTCCTTAACCTGATCTTGCACCAGCAAACACAATTTCACTATTGTGAAGCAGAGGCGTCACCGTACAGAAACCGGAGAAGTCACACTCACACAACGCGCCCGCACTGTCACTCCAGTGAATGTGCGTCTGGATGAGGCTTGGCCCCTCCTATTCCTGCAGCACGAGTGTACAATAAACAAAAATTAAAAAGACAAGAGAAACACCATGACGGGGGTCCATAATTCCGCAAAAACAACATATTACACATTATCACTTCCTCTTGGGTAATGGAGGGAAAGTAGAAAAATAAAAAGTGTCGGTTTGTTCTCCCGCCACCACCCACCTCAATAAAGCAGTGGCGAGGACAAGATATGGTCCCTGACGCATACTACATCTCTCTTTGTCCTCCTCTCTACATCGCTCGCTTTCCAGTTTCCTTTAAACCATCGGGTGGAGCTCTTTCTTGTTGTTGCTGTTGTTGTTTCCTTTTTCTTTTTAGCTTGTTTTTCTCCCTCACAACAGCGGATTCCATAGCCGAAGCATCGTCAGACGCCCAGTAGAGTCACCAAACACCACCTCCGCGCCTTGTGTATTCGTTGCCTGCACCACATCCCATGAGGTGACATCCGCGGGCTCTAGCACAAACTCACCGTCGGTCGCACACTCCACGAGCTCCTCTTCCTCCTCTTCGTTGATATTGTTATCCTCCGCCAGGTGCGTGCTACTGGCATTGGAAGCATCAACATCACCACCGTCCAACCACACACGTCGTGGCAACACCCAAAATTTCATTTCAAAGCTGTTACCCAGGGCAAAAAGAGCCTTGCTGTCTCCGCGAAAACGCAGCGCCTTCACGGTCGCCACAGGTGATTCACGGTAGGCTGCAAACTCCATTGTAGGTGAGATCACCATCTTATTCACATTCTCCTCTTGAAGCGTCGCCCATGGAAGTTGGTGAATGACCACAGATCCATCTTCTAGTGCACTCGCGAGCAGCTTCTCATTTGCAGACAATTGGTACAACAATTGGCTGCTAGAGCTCGTCAACACTGCCACCTCTCGTCCCTGCAAGAGATTGTAAAGATGCACGAAACGTGGGGGTGCCCGTCGTCCGTCTGCCTGGGCGGGAAACGGGGCAGGGTGGAGCAGCAAGTGTGTGCCAGCCAACACCGTCTTTCCCGAGCCCACCGTAAAGGAGACCTCCAGGAGCTTCTCTCGCACAAATTCGTCTCGCGTCGGCTTCAGATGCCACTTCGTCAGCACATTATGGCACGTGGCATAAAACAAGTCGTCTTCGAGTCGGTGTGGCAGCACGCAGGCGTAGCCGCGGCGAATATTAATATCCTTAACGTCGTCGTTTTCGGAAAGGAATTGACGCTGATCCACATGCAACAGCAGTTTACCTTTCTCCGTTTCAAAAACCCGCAGATGAAGATCCTCTGTCGCCACCAAATAAAAGCGCCCACGAGCGGAGAAGGCAACCGATGACAGGGGTGCCCCAAATATTCCGCCGTCGCACCGTGACACAAGCTTCAACTGGGTGCTATCGTAAATGAGAAGGGTGCGGTCGTGACAAACAGCGGCGTGGTAGGAGCCAGTTTCACAGTATAGCAGCCCCTCCACCCTTGTTGGCGCCTGTCGTGCCCGTGTCGTGGTCATGCCATTCATCATACTCAAGCTGCAAACACTTCGATCCACACTGCCAGTTGTGACGCGGTTGCCTTTGGGCGAAAATAAACAGGCGGTGATCGCGCCGTTGTGAATCATTGGCTTCACACACGCCACAACCTCAAAAAACATAGCGCGACGTTGAACGAGAGGTGCATGATAGCTCATCTTGCGTGTGACGTACTCCTTCGCATCACTCCCAACGAATGTATATTGTGCTGCACTTTCAATCGCCGTTTGTAGCACAAGATGCGGAAACTCCGTAAGCCGCGCGTTATAATGACGCAAAAAGTAAATGTAGTCACGCAGCCGCAAAAGTGAGGCGGAGTTCTCACCCTGAGCATTATCTGTGTGGTTTGTAAGCTCCCCCAGTTCATACATCTCGTACAAGGTATTGAAGGCAGGAATGAGCTCCCTAACGAGGTGGTAGCCGAGTGTGTTGCGGTATACAAGCATCAAGAAGGGCATAGACAACACAGTATGAAACAGGATATGCCAGGCCTGCGCCTGTACCACATGGTATGGCAGCTCCTTTACCGACATACGCTCGTAGGGGTTCGTCGATCTTAAACCAAAAATTGGCGGCGACTTCTCTCGCGCAACAACGTCATGCACCACGTTGAGATAGCAGTGTGTCAGCATATCGTGCCACACCTTCTGGTCCTCCTCCAATCCCTCCTCCTGCAGGGCCTCCTGCTCGAGTAAGACACGAAATTCACGTGATCGAATCCAGAGACGTGGATGCAGAGCATTTCCCTCTTTAATGCCAAGCGACAACAATGAGCCGTGCTCTAGCAGTGGACGCATCATGCGGAGGAGTTGGTTAAATCGTCGTTGTGGAAGGTGCAACATCCCGCGCAGCTGCGGCCCATAGATACCCCATCGAGAGGATAAAAGTAGACGTGAGCACGTCCGCACGAGCGCAGTACCAAACGTATTTTGCACGTTGCCGTACACCCGTTGCACCATCTCCTTCACTGTGCCAGGCAGAGATGACATGACCGCCTGCGTCCCAACTCCAGGCACCTCGTTAAAGCTGCGCAGTGCATCTACCACAAACATAATGTATTCCGGTGAAAGAGCCTCCTCCTTCTTTCGGATAGTCACAAAATCATCGTCAGAGAGGGTTACACCCACCTTTGAAAGTATATCCTGACGAAGCATTTCGTCAAAATCGTTCGGTGTGATAGGGCCCAAGGAGAGAAGCTCGGTGCTGTCACGCCCACGTGATTCTAGCTGACGATGCATATCTGAATTTGTCTCACAGCCCAGTACAAGGCGCACATTACGCGACAAACAAAAGGGAATGTATCCATATATGTCAAAGTACTGGGGCGATGGTTCTGGCGTTCCCCAGATGTCTTTCCCTGTGTCAGTTGAGAGGCGTAAAGCTTTGCAAGGCGGAACGGTGGGAAGGACGCGGTCCAGGCCGTCGAGAATCACCACAGTGATGGGAACATCCCCACCACCACCCTTCGTCAACGTCTCTGAGGGTTTCACCTTGTCTGTAAGTACGTCGACAAGGAGTTGCTGAAGACGAACAATGTCGACCTCGGCAATCGCCCGCCTGTAAATGTCCTGGTCTGGAAATAACTGAAGAATGATATGACATATAATTTCACGTAAATCGGTAGGTTCCTCTATCAGTGGCGCCGCGAGGGTCGTGTGAAACGCGATACGAAACCTCTGAGGATCCTTTAAGAGGAGACGTGAGGCAAAAGACCCAATAAGTGTTGTTACCGGCGCAGGCTCGGATCCGTGCAGGAGGAATACATTTCGGCTAGGTGGTGTGAGAATGTACAAATTCAGGCGGTCAGTGATGCTCTTTTTCACAAAGGCATGCTCCACACACACATCGAGTAAATCATGCAACCGTTTCTGATACAACTCTAACTTTTTCGCCCCAAACTTGTTGATGTTGTAGCCCTGGTAAGACGTTGGATGGCTGTCGTCGCAGCGTGGGAAGTGTGCCAGCATGATCAGACGGATGCGCCTGTACATGGCCTCTACAAACTCCTCCAAGTTCTTTAAGTGCACCTGACCGTCCTCGCCGCAGAAGTCAAAGGTGGCGTTGTAGTTGCGAATAACCAATTCCTGTACTGGGGCCGTCTCCAACAATTTGTCGCGAAACAGTTGATGCTCCTGCCACTTTTTCGCCTTCAGTGAGGCACCGCACTCAACCTTCTGCGTTCCGCACACTACATCGGAGCCAACGGTGACGGTTCGACGAATCTGTGCCTGAAGGTAATCCGGGTGCTCCACTGGGGGTTCTTCGGTGAGCAGTGGGGCAAGTGAGGGCGGCACGCCAATCCTGCGTGTGTCTTTGCGCGCGGCGACAATGATCCAGCTTGACAGCGCCGTCGCCAACTCATGTGCTGTTTGCAGAACCGGTCGTAACGGCGGTGCTGCCTTACTCTCAGCACGGATGGGGTTGGCCCCATCGCCCTGCCGACACAGCGACTGCAACAGCTGTGGCCGTTTTACCATCTCATTTGCGGGAAGCTGTTCATATTCCCCAGCACGGTCCCCAACTAACTCAATTGTCAGAAACCGCGATTTCTCCACGTTGCGCAGGACGTCCACCGCGATGACGAAGCGCAGATTCTTCAGATATGTTCCTGCAGGTCCATCAGGTGGGTCAAAGAGTGGCAGAAGATGTACTTTACGGTCCAGCAGCTCCTCGTTGAGGCGTGGAAATACGCTCCGCACAAGCAGTTCCACCTCGGACTCAAAGAGAAGAGGTGGGGCCAGGATGGCCACCTCCATCAGCCGCCATCCCGAGTCACCGTCTGGAAAGGGGACAAATTTGCTGTCATCACCCGTTGCAGTTGCCGCAGCGTGTGTGAGGGCTTTCAGGCGTTCAAGCGCCTTCTCTTCCTGACGGTCCCACTCCGCCTTTCGAATCGTCTCACGAAGTGCATAAGAAAATCCACCCTCGATGCTGCGCGTCCCTGACGGTGTATCGGCTGCCGCGCCAGGCGGTGCCGCCACCGCAACCGCCCGGGCGGCGAGCAAATTGTTGTGCTCCAGCGCGAGCTGAAGCTTCTTCATGACGGCATCCGGCACCTGCGTCTCACTGAGGTTAATATAGACCATATTTCGATTCTGCCGCACCAAGGAGAGAAGTGCCAGGCCGGCAGCGAGTGAGATGCCGTTACGTGAGAAGTCCAAGCGTGCGAGGCGTGGATGCTTCATCATTGCGCGACAGAAAAAAACCACAGAGTCGTTGCTGAGCCCACTCCCCGGTAGGCGCAGCTCCTGCAGCTGGTCGTTTTTCGCGAGAAGGCTCGTCATGGCCTGAAGACCCATGGCACCAACGTAGTTTCGTCTAAGGTCAACGACGGAGCTGTGGCGAATAGCATCTGCATTACTCACCAGCGCAGTGTTCACCTTCGCCTTGAGCGTGGCGTAGTTGTAGACGAGTTCATCGTACGCCGCGGAATCCGTCACACCAGGGGTTCGCCTTTCAGTTGACTGTGGCCTAATCCTAGAAGGCAGCAGTATGGGACTGTGCATGCTGCCCACGGAACTTTGCTACTACGATGGTCGGCAATCTGCCCCCGCGTTGACGACTATGGAGCGGTGAAAAAGAAGAAAAAAAAGGGAGGGTAAAAGACAAGAGGAGAGTAAAAAAAAAAAAAATACATCGAAGAACATGCTGCCATCGCAGCGGGTGTTTTGCTTGAGAACCCTTAAAATATGCACAGACACACACACACACACACAGACACACGCACCCGGCCAGTTTATCATGAATAAGGATAATTCCTTTTCCTTTTTGTATCCCTCCTTCCTATTCCGTTCGCGTCGTTGCCTTCTGCGTTCCCCCCTCAATCATTCATGGTGGCCAGAAGCTCCTCGTCTGTAATGACGGGCATCCTCCCCCTCCGGCTGTCTGGCGGAGTGTTACCCTGATGCCCCTCGCCCTCGTCAGCAGACGCACCATCCCCCATCACCTCCTCCTCCTCCTCCTCGTTGTCGCTGTTCGCGTCGTCCTCGTCCTCATCATTGAGCACCGCCGCAAACACGCCGTTGGGGCACCCAGTCCTGCCAATCATCCGCGCGACCCACGACTTCTCTGGCGCGATGAGCCCAACGAAGTTCGAGAAGTCGGCGGTGGCAACATCGTGCAACTCCTCGCGGCGAATGGGCCCCGTGCCACACACAGAGCACCCGTCGCGCAGAAACTGCGTCTCCGTCAAAACGAGACGGCATTGGCGACAGGCAAGATAGCCGCGATCGCCAATGGGCAGCTGCGGCGGCGGCTCTGCAGCCATGTAGCTTCCTCCCTGCCGAGGCGTAAACACAACAATAACAGCGGCAGCACAAAAGAAGAGGAAGCGAAACGCACGTGCGGGAGAGGAAAAGAGTGTGAAAGACAAAACGAATTGAATTTAAAACAGCCCACACACAGAGACGCATTAAAAAAAAAAAACAATGAAAAGCAACACACAAAAACAAAGACATTTTTTTTTGTTTTTTGTGGGCACCGCGTACATATGTAATGCAGACACAGACATAGACACAGAGCGAGATGAATGAATAACAAGGGCATAGCGGCGGGAAGTCCATTTACTCTCAGCAGCCAATAGAGGCCAGCAACGGTTCAAAGGTGCTGATGTCCCGCAATGCGACCGCCGCAACGTATGGGCACCCAAGACTGTCCATCGTTAGAATGAAGCTGACATTACATCGCTCAATTAGCGGATGGCGCTTCTGTAAATCATCTCCCAAGTCTCTAACATCATCTGTGCTTCTATGATTCTCATTCGTCTCCCACTCGTCTCGCAGCACAAGGCAAGGACAGAACATCAGTTCATTCGTTACAACCAGCGAAAGACCTTCAAGACGCCCAAGGAGATCGGAAAGTGTCAGCACCTCCTCATCGTCCATCTCAGTATATCTTGGTCTTTTGCTGCGTGTTGGAGTACCGCGCAACTCACGGCGAACCCGCGCCGGTAGAAAATACTTCAGTGGTATCTCCAGTACGGAATCGTCTGATCGTTGTCGCCTATCCCCAGTAGGCAGAATCATCCCACCCACCGAAGCCACCACCTCACCGGTGTGGTACGACTGACCTGCAAACACCCGACGCAAGACGCTCTTCAATAGAGACTGCAACGCAAGCAAAGCAGCAGCATCCTCGCTGTTGTCATCGCAGTCACTGGGCAAATTCTCGCCATACGAAGCAGCGCTGCCAACGTAGAAGAGATAGTCCGTCGCGTTACTGCCATCAGTAGGCTTCGTTTCGCCACAGCATTTCATCTTTGAAGTCGATATTGCCACCGCATCAGGGTTTTGCTGCTGTTGCGCGTCGTTTGGTAGTTGTACCTCTTTTTGCCACAACTCCTCTTTTCTCCGCCGCACGCGTGGCTTTCGTCCTCCCCTCCGTGACTGACATTCCTGCTGGTCTTGCTCGTGTGCCTCATCCTCATCTCTGCCCCGCCTGCTTTCACCCGTCGACAGATGCTCCTCCTCCGTGGAGGTAGTGACAGCGTACAAAAAGATGTTTTCGTGCGTCTCAAACCTGGCGTGTTTGTTGATGGCCGAGAGCGGAATCGCGGCGTCCCACACCTGCCAAGGGAGGAAGGGAACGTTGAGGGGCCAACGCACAGGCTCCGAACTGAACGGTACGGCAGACGCTGACTGCGCGGCGTCCCCAGTCGAAGCTCCAGCACCGTTGCTTTTCGGGTTGTGTCTGGCACCGCACTTCTCCGAGGAGGATGAAGTAAGCTGCGAGCCAGACGTACTGTCTCCATCTTCGAGCGCAGTTTGAAAGGATGCACTGGGAGGCAGCTCCCCCAACGAAGACGACGGTGTTGACGCCACACCTCGCATCACTAATGCCAACACATTTTCACGTGACAATGAAGATGTGCAACACGCTGCCACCATGCGAGCCCGCTGATGTCGAGGGGAATGACAGAATAAGCAGTGGCTGATACGCACTGGTGTGGGATTTCCAATACTCCACATCCCACACTGTGGGCACTCCCACAATAGCACCATCTCCGTTTGCTCATCCTCAACAGTAAAATTGACATCAGACACTCCATCCACTTTTGGTACTCCTTTGTTCTGAACCTGAAGGGCATCATCACGATCTTCAAATGCGCCAACAGCAGTAAAGTTCATGCTCGTTGGAGCCCATTCTAGCCGACTGTAGACCCCACCTGTTCCTTTGTTCACAAGCTGTGGGAAGGGTACAATGCCACCGGCCCGATGGCGTGTCAGCAGTTCCCCGTTTAATCCCACCCACGGACTAGGCGTGAGACTATGCGCCTTGCCGTACGACATTAGAATCTCTTCACCCTTGTTGATAACCCGTCTGGAAACAAGAGCTGTGTACGCCTCTCCGCGTGGCGTAAACCGACTCTCCGCAGTAAGATTGGCCGCCAACCCTAGAACACCGCGGGGGTCATTTGCAAAACGGCCGTAATTGCCAGCAAACTCAGCATCCAAGGCATAGTCATCGCTGAGGGAACCAAAACCCATCGTGTAGGTTCTAGAGCTACAAGCGGTGCTAGAGATTTCAATATAGCCACTATATGATGTCACGACGGTGTTAGCAGGGATGGTGCTCTTGGCGAAAAGGCCTAACTGTCCGTAGGCGGGGTGGCGTGGGTCCGTCAAGACGCGCAGCTCAACGTATTGATCTGGTACATATCGTGCGGGTACAAAGTTTGGTAGGGTCTTAGGATCCGTAAAATACTGCATAAAGGCGAACAGCTCCATGTAGAGTACCATGCGATCGTGCTTACTGATGGAAGGGCCAAAGGCAATGAAATGCCTGGCGCCCTCGCTCGCATGGAATTTAAGTGATCGGCGCGTCGGTGCGCAGCGAAGTGACTGCGAAGACTCCATTTCTTGCGGAGTCCCGAGTGTAGTGAAAAGATCAAACACAAAACGTCAATGTTAGTTTACGTCTTCGTAGCAACACACTCACACACACACACACACACACACACGCACAACGGGAAAAAAAACCTCTTGCCTCTTCCTCCCTCCCCTACGCCCTTCGCACTCTCCGTGTGGCGTGCGCCTGTGGAGGTCGCCCTGTACCTTCCTGACTCCTTCGCCTCACACCCACACCAGCAGTGCATGCACCACGTACATGGTTTGCAAGTACAACCACACACGCACAGAGTAAAAGAGAGAAAAAGAGAGGGGGAGGAAACAGATTCCAGCAAAAAAAAAAAAACAGGCAACGGCTTTCCACGCAGAAATGTAGTGGAAAGAAGTGAAAAGAATACTGTACCGTATACCATTTAACCGAGAGATCCATCAGTCCATCCGCCGCCCCTCGGAGGATTGGGTGGCCACGCCTCGCCCAAGTCCGCTCCTTCTCCCGCCCGTGCCTCAGAAGCAACAATCGCAATCAAAAGGACAATTGGCGGTCGTGCCTGCTTTAGGGTTTGACGATGTGATTTTTTGCAGCTCATCCACAGTGACAATGCGATCCACCCCCTCACGCTGAAGCAGATCCTCTGAGACTTCGACTGCGGTTGACTCTTTGGTCTTCCGTCTCTTCTTCTGCCGCTGCGAGACCACGTTAAAGAACACCGAGTCACTCAGCTTTAGTGTCTTCTCCGGTGCGTGGTACAAGCCGTCGCTGACGGACTGGGCGGCCGTCCCCACCGCCTTGCGTTGCTGGACGAGGCCACCACTGCTGCTGCCGCCTTGGCAAGCCTCATCGCGCCGCTTATCTCGCATAATGGCAAAGATGTCTGCAATGTCAGACCTACCCTTGTAGTCTACAACAACTTTTCCGCCTTTGAATCCCGCAGGGGAAGATGCCACGGCTGCAGACATGACCTCTTTAGCCTTTGCGCCGTCACATCGCCGCTTCTTCGCGTTTTTCATCACTACAAGTCACTCAAGGCAAACAGCACAAACAGCATGTGTGTGTGTGTGTGTGAGACAAACAGGAAGGAGTGCGGCAGATTGCGTAGAGAACTGAATAGCCTGCATGCATGAATTCCGAGTGATGTGCAGAAATACACCGTCAAGACAGCGAAAAAGCCAAACAAAGTGAGTTGAAAGAACTACAACAAGACAAAATAATTAAAAAAGACAAATCATGAAAAAAAAAAACAATCTTCTACGGTTGTCCCCCACGCTGCAACCATCCGCATCCCTTCCACCCCGTTGGCAAAAATATATTATGCCGTTACTTCCTCTCCTACCCGGTCGCACTGGTTCGCCCGAGGTCGTTTTTGTTTCTTTGACACGTATTACTATAGCCGTTTTTTTTTTCGTTTTTTTTTGTTGTTGTTGTTTTTTTTTTTCATAAAGAAACTGTTAACTAAATAATTTTTGCTACCTCAACAACGACCAAATAAACAACAACAACAGAAGCGGAATAAATAAAAACAAAAAAAGATTTGCGTATTGAATCCTCTCAGTGGGTAAATACCTGAATCTCCCGCGAGAAGGGGGCGCCAGCCATTGTCTTTTCAATCTCCTCCACGGTACGAGGGACACGGGTCATGTTGATAGCGCCCGTCTCAGTGATGAGCACATCGCTCTCAATGCGTACCCCGCCAAAGTTCCATAGTGAGCGCAGTTTGCCTTCGTTGAGGTGAGGCTTGAACTCCGGGTTTTCAAAGGCGTCGGTGAGGAGGACGCGGTTAATGTAACAGCCAGGCTCCACCGTGACGCAGAATCCCTTTTCCAGCACACGGGCCGTGCGAAGCTTGCAGCAGTCACTCTCTTCAGGCCGCGGTGGGCACCCCTCCAGGTAGCCCCCGACATCGTGCACATCCATGCCCATAAGATGGCCAAGACCATGCGGCTGGAAGAGGCCCATGACACGTTTTTGCATAATGACATCCACATCCCCCAAGAGAATACCAACCCGCACAAGATGCTCACACATCACACGCAGAGCCAGTTTATGCATATCGACCCAGTTCACGCCTGGCTTCAACTGACTCAGTACGGAGTCGTGGGCGTCCAGCACAGCATTGTAGATCACTCGTTGATCTTCAGTAAACTTACCATTAACAGGAAAGGAGCATGTAATATCGCTTGCGTAGCCCATGTAATGACCACCCATGTCAAGAAGCGCCATGGATCCATCCTCAACGGGTGCATCATTGTTCGGATAGTGCAAAATAGCCCCATGGTGACCCGTGCCACAGATGCACGTGTATGCCACTTTACGGCAACCGCCATGGTAATAAACATGATGCAAGAAGGTTGATTCAAGTTGATGTTGTGACATACCAGGTTTGCAGGTTTGCATGACGTGAATATGAGCTTTACTAGAGGCATTGCATACATACTGCAGAAGCTCCGCCTCAAGGTCTGTCTTGTGGCAGCGCTGCTGGGAAAGCGTATCGAACAACCAGCTGCTGGACACATTCAGCTTGGAGTACTCCGGCAGCTTTGCCTGCAGAACGTTGAGACCGCTGTCCGAGTTGACACCATCCAAGACCTCAACGATTTGTATTTCCTTTGCTGTGAGCACAGCTTCAATCTCATCAGTGTAATGCACCTCGTCAACCTCGGTGGTGCGCCTCACACTCTCCGGGTTGGGCAGCTCACCCATCCAAACAGCGTAGGATACGGGGTGGCGGGGAATAAAGAGGATGCCCTTGCCATTGGAGAGCACAGCACCAAAACTGTCGGGAATATCGCAGCCAAAGAGGTACGCAAAATAACTTTCCTGCCAAAAGAGGTAATTGATATCCGTTGAGTTCACCGGTACCTCTGACCCACCCTGAAGGAAGGCTGCATGCGTCGCACCCTTGCTTGAGCGCAACGCTTGGCCAAGACGTTGTCGCTGCTCGCGATACATCTCGCGCTTTACTTTAAAAGGGTACGCCGTGCACTGCTCGCTTCTGCAGGCATTTTGTGTGTTATTTGCTGGCATCGTCTCTTCTGCTTCTTCGCCCACGTGCGTTATGCTACAATGTAGTAGCACTGAGTAGGTACGGAGTTCCTAACCAAGTCGCTTTGACTTCTTTAATGCTTTGACGCGGTGCAAATAAAGTGGGGAAGCTTATCGCAGTACAGCCGCGGCAACAGGCAGAGCCACCTGCAGTGCAAAAGCAGCACGGGCAGAGAAACAGGCAACGCACTCACACGACCGTACTCACCCAGCATCACCATCTGTAAACTTCGCTCCGGCTCTCTTCACCCAACCCCAAGCCTTTCTGTCTTCTTCTGCCTTCTGTTCCTTCGCCATTCCGCCACGTAAATTTTAACCTTCCCCCTCCCGCGCGCTAGTCCCCCCGGACAAGCGTCCAAGTGGTGGCATTTCACAAGAAGAACGGAACCCCGCCAAGTCAAGAAAAAAAAATTATATATATACTGCTGCTCACCGAGAGAACAGCGTTGGATAACAATTGAAGTGAAGCGTCAGCACATCCTCTCTTTTTCTTTCCTTCTTTCCTTTCGTGTACGTGCTTCTGTGAGTACTCGGCTCGTCCTCACCCTCTGCGCAAAGGCAGCACACCCCACAGAAGGGAGGAAGCAAGAAACGGGGAAAAAAGGAAAAAAGGAAAAAAAAAAAAAACAAGGACATGCGCACATGTCACCTAATCTGTCCGGCTACGACGCCTTTTCGTTCACGTAATTAATCTTGTGGGCACGAACTTTCGATTCCACATCCAGGGTCATGAACCATATCCCGAGACTCTCGCACCACTGCTTGAGCAGGGCGGAAATTTTCTGCCTACAAGTGTTGTCACACCCCGTATCACAAATTTTTACAAGGCAGTATTCCCCGTTAAGCAGGAATGTAACGCTATTCACCACCATAGACAGCTTGCTCCGCAGCCCCTCCGGGTTTAGTGTTATCATTGGAGGGTGCCGGATCACATACATGGGAGCGGTAGGGGGATGCAGAAGACAGCCGTCTGAGTCATCCGAAAAGTTTATGCTGAACACGCAGCCGTGGATAGGGGTAATGCCGCATAGTCGTCGGAAGTCCGAGCCCACCTGCGCAAGTTCCTCCTGCGCAAACAAAAAAAGGGATCCTGTCATAAATGCATCAAAAACGGCATCGTGCTCCTTCATCGATGCCTCCGCCGCCGCCTCGAAGGACAACGTGGAGTGAATCTGCAGCTGCTCATTTCTTTTTAAAAGCGTCAGGTAGGTTCTCTTGAGCGTGCCTGTTAGAGTGCCCACTTTTTGCAACGATGGTGCACCCGTCAGCGTTCGGGTATCGTATAATACAGGAAACATGTCTCGAATAACGCGTTTAAATTTGGTTAACGTCCGTGGTGGTTCCCGCAACATAGCGCAACAGAGAAAAGCCAAGTCTAAGATGCCATTGTGTAGCACCAGGGGCTTCTTGCTACCCTGCGTCGCCGTCACCAGGGCCTCCAGGAGACGTGTGCCAAAGTAGCTGGGATCCCTCGCAAACTGCACACCCAAATACCTGGATGGCGAAACCTTTGTAATCGTCCTCCGCGCGAGACGCAAGCCGAGTCCTCGTATGTGATTGTCAAATTCCTCAAACGACGGCGGTCTCAAAAACGGAAGGTGTATTTCCAACGAATCCCCCACGGGAGCGGTCCGGGCAAATGAGACTATTTTCGAGTACTCTGAAAAAAGCTGTTTTTTTACATCTTCAAACGGTAACGCATTTATCCAACGCCTTAGGATCGCCGCTCTTTCTTCCACAACGCGTGCGTGGTCGGCGGCTTCCGTGCTGCACAACGCCGCCTGCTGTACCTTAACGTAGTCCTCAAAGGAGACAAAAAAAAGTCCTTCTGAGATCCATTTGTTTAGGTCCACAGTGTTTTGCATCAAGAACATCACTGTTTCAGAGGAGAGAGTCACTGTTCTGTCCTCCTCACCTTTCGCCGGGGCGGGAAGCAAATAGCAGTAGTAGTTCCGCACAGACACGTGCCGTTTCTTCGCCTCGGTGTAGCCCTTCCACCGCTCAGCAATCTCAATGACCGCATCAATCTCATTAAGGGTGCGAAACGCGTGCAACTTGTCAAACACAGAGGTAGACTCGGTAACGCCATTGCACGCAAGCTCCGCCTCCAGCCGTGTCTCCTTGAGCCTCTCCATGTCCCTGGGCACCACTTGACCCTTGGAAACCCAATTCTCCATCATCGTCTTCAGCATCGGCCCCTTCAATCCTGATGAGTAAAATGCGTTTGCCTCACAGCGCATGACGTCGCGGCAGGATTGAGGCGTGGCACCTGCGCCCGGCGCGTCCACACCGGCGCTGATCACCTGCTCGGTGGCGCCGCGGAACATGCTAAAGCCAATCTGAAACGGAGTGAATAGACGTGCCGCCGCCATCTTCTGCAAAAAAGCCTCCTCTGGCAGTTTGAGAAAGTCGGGAACAGACTCATGGTCAATGCCGGTAAACTCGAGGTCGACGGCGACGTAGTCCGCGTCGTTAAGGTCTCGCAAAAATGCAGGGAACAACTCGGTAAAATTTTGACGATTGATGAACGTGATGTCGGGCATCATGTTTGCCATTTGCAACTCTCACTCCTGCTCTCTATGCAGACACGCACACACTGAATCATGTGTATTATGTGAAGTTGAATGTGTGTGTGTGTGTGTGTGTGTGGGAGGGAGAGAGAAATGGGAAGTGGAATGTCAACAAGAGAAGGAAGAAGAAGTGTGACATCGACAGACACAAGAAGCGCTCTGCCCTTTGGGCAACATTTTCTCCGCACCTCACACTCCAATACAAGAAGCAAAGGGCACTTGTTGTTGTTGCTATTGTTGCTTTGTCCCCACTCCCCGCTTCCACGTTTCGCGCTGTCACTTTCCTTCCTTCTTGCTGTTGTTTTCTTTTCCGCCTACTATGACAACCTCCAGCCTCGCGTATACAAC